AGGTCTTGCTGAAGGTTTCTCCCATGAAGGGTGTTATGCGGTTTGGAAAGAAAGGGAAGTTGAGTCCGCGGTTTATTGGGCCTTTTGAGGTACTTAGGAGGATTGGGGAGGTGTCTTATGAGCTTGCCCTACCACCCAGCTTGTCGGGCGTGCATCCAGTTTTTCCTGTTTCTATGCTCCGGAAGTATATTGGAGACCCGTCCCATGTTCTAGATTTCAGTACAGTTCAGTTGGAGGGTGATTTGACTTATGATGTGGAGCCAGCAACCATTTTGGATCGTCAGGTTCGGAAGTTGAGGTCAAAGGATGTTGCTTCGGTGAAAGTGCAGTGGAGGGGTCGGCCCGCGGAGGAGGCTACCTGGGAGACCGAGCGGGAGATGTGGAACAGATATCCTCACCTGTTTGAGGCTTCAGGTATGTTTCTTTACCCGCTCGAGGACGAGCGTTCGTTTTATTTGGGGAGGATGTGACGACCCGACCCGTCGTCACGTGAGTTACCGCGCCGTTTTTCCCATTTTCTGCTTCTTTATGATTCATTATAAGAGTCTTGTGTGAACGAGTTGATTTGGATTGGTTTTAGAAGGAAATGAGACACTTAGTCTCTTTAAGCAAGGTTTGGTTTGGAAAAGTCAATCGGATGTTGACTTATGAGTTAGAGGGCTCGGATGTGATTTCCGGTGATTCGTTTAGCTTCGGGGGATGATTTGTGACTTAGGAGCGTGATCAAAAGTGATTTTGGAGGTCCGGTGTAGAATTAGGCTTGAATTGGCGAAGTTAGTATTTTGGCGAATTCCGGTTGATAGGTGAGATTTTGATCCAAGGGTCGGAATGGAATTCCGAGAGGTGCTGTAGCTTCATTTGGTGATTTGGGATGTGTGTGCAAAATTTTAAGTCATTTGGAGGTGTTTTGGTTGGGTTTTTGATCAAATGTGTGCTTTGGAAGTTTTAGAAGAACTTAGGCTTAAATCCCATGTAATTTGATGGTTTTGGTGTTGTTTGTGGTGTTTTGATGATTGGAGCAAGTTCGAATGATGTTTTAGGACGGATTGGCACTTTTGGTTGAGGTCCCGGGGGCCTCGGGCTGATTTCGGATGGCCATCTGGATGAATTTTGGACTTGTGTTGTTGCTGAGTTTTGCTGGTTCTGGTATTTCCGCATCTGCGAAAATAGGACCGAAGATGCAGTCTCGCAGATGCGGTGAGGGGCATCGCAGGTGCGGATTTTTTCTATTGGGGGATTTCCGCAGAAGCGGATGATTTTCCGCAGAAGCGGAGTCCGCAGATGCGGACCTTGGCCGCAGAAGTGGTCCTGGCTAATAGTGGAACTCCGCAGGAGCGGAATAATTTCCGCAAAAGCGGAAACCGCAGAAGCGGTTTATTGATCGCAGAAGCGAAAATGTCTGGACAGAAAAGGGTTCTGAAGTTTCATTATATTCCGCGAGCTAAGGTATTTTTCCACCATTTTTGAACATCCTTGAGAGCTTTTGGACGAGAATTAAAGGGAATTTCGACTGGGATTGATTGGAGGTGAGTTCTATGACCTAAATACATGATTTAATGGTAGAATCAACCTAGAAATTCATGAAAATTTATCAAAAAGGGGGAAGAACTAGGGCTTGAGTTTTTGTATTTCAAATTGGGTTTTGATGGGTCATTTGAGCTCGGATTTGGGAGTTCTTGAAATGCATAGACTCGTGGTGAGATAAGGAATCCGTTGATGTAAAATTTGCTGGAATTCGAGAAGTGGGCCCGGGGCTCGGGTTTCACAAATTTCATGATTTTCGATGTTTTTCGATTTTTTTCAATCGGGTTATGTTCCCTTAGCCTATTGTGATGTATTCATTGTGGTTTTGATCAGATTCGACACGCGAGGAGGCCGATTTGAGAGGCAAGGGCATAGCGAGCTAGGATTTTGGCAGGCTTGAGGTGAGTAATGATAGTAAATGATATCCTGAGGGTTTAAAACCCCGGATTTGCACAACGTAGTGCTATATTGAGGTGAAACACGGGCTTAATGACGGGCTCGGGGTTGTTTACTGCTGGTGATTGTGACTTGGTCCGTCCCGATTGGTATTTTACCGCGTATTTGACTGAGATTTGTTTGTTATCAATATGATTTGGGCCTATTGCCATATTTTGGGCTTCGTGCCGACTACTTGAATCCTTCGTGGATTTTATCGCTGTTTCCTCAATATTTTGATATACTACTTGAAATCAGTCCTGTTGACTATACTGCTTTACAAACTCAGCCGTTTTAATTGAACTTTGAGACTTAAATGATATTCCCACTGTTGTTTGGGCTGAGCACTACTATTTTATTGATGCCCGAGGGGCTTATGATGTTTTTCTGGACTGAGTGAGGCCGAGGGCCATATGTGAGGATATGTTGAGTGATGTGAGGAGGCTTTCAGGCCTTATGAGTGATGTGAGAAGGCTTTCAGGCCTTATGTTGATATAGCGCTTGGGCCGTAAGGGGCCCCTACGGAGTCTGCACACCCACAGTGAGCGCGGGTACCCATATGATCTGAGAGTGAGCCCGAGGGGCTGATATAATGATGAGTGACTGATACTGAGACCGAGGGGCTGATACTGTTCTGAGCGATTGATAATGGGCCCGAGGGGCAAATTTCTACTCACTATTTATTGTTGTTTTACCTGATTTACCTGTTTTTAAAAGGAAATTTCATTTGACTCTTTACTGTTTACTGCGTTAAGTGATTTACTGCCTGATATAGAATTTTCTTGTGCACTTATGTGTTTTCATGTCTTCGGTTATTATTTATTATTATTACTCACTGGGTCGGAGCACTCACATTACTCCCTACACCATGTGTGCAGATTCAGGCATAGCAGAGTCCGCACCTGAGCACTGATTCCTTCTAGACTAGGCAGCGAGTAGGAGTTACGAGGTAGCTGTTGACGTCCACAACCCCTTGTCTCCCCTATCTTACATCATTTATGTTTTCTTCAGACTATTGTATCGGATATTACACTTTGTAGGCATATAGCAAACTCTGTAGTAGCTCATGACTTATGACACCCCGGTTTGGGCTGTGTCGGGATGGTTTCCCTTGTTATTATCGATGTTCCGCATTATTGGCTATATTAAGCATGTGTTAGAATTTTCAATGTTAATTAATTGCTTTAAAAGAGGTATTTGCGTTGTTCTGGCTGGCCTTGTCTTCACGAGAGGCGCCATCACGACCGGGTTTGGGAAATGGGGTCGTGACAAAAACCAATTGAATCAAACTCATGAACTTCAAGTTCTTCAATTTACTCTCAGTGCGCCGAAACGTAATTAAACTACTCGGAATGACACCAAATTATGCGTGCAAGTTTTAAATGATACTACGAAACTATGCTCAGTTTCGGAATTCCATTTGGACCTCGATAACACCAAAACCCGATCCAAACCAATTTTAAAGAACTTCTAAAACCTTCAAAGAACTATCTCTCAATATTAGGCACCAAAACGCTCCCGGGTCATCCAAAACTCGATCCGAACGTATGCCCAAGTCCGAAATCATCGTACGGACCTATTGGAACCGTCAAATCCCAATTCCGAGGTTGTTTACTCAAAATGTTGACCGAAGTCAAACTTGGCCTTTTTAGCCAACCTTAAGGAACCAAGTGTCCGATTTCAACCCAAACCCTTCCAAATCCCGGACTAATCATCCCCGCAAGTCATAAAATACTAAAAGCATGTACGGAAAATCTTATTTAGGGGAACATGATTCTAGGAAGCAAAACGACCGGTCGAGTCGCTACATATACATTCTACAACAGCACAACTACACTCCTGTCTCAAATAAGCTGGAGTACGCTATATAAAATTCTCATTGGATATTTAATTCAGTTTAATTTTTTCAGACCAATATTATGCAAAATAAAAACAAAAATAAAAAGTATTAAAAGTTTCCTCTCTTTGTAACTTCCAAAACTTTTTCATAGTGATTCCTTTGTATGCCTCATTTCAGAGAGAATCTAAATAGCTTTTTGTATTTATTAATTAACAGAGAAATTTATGGATTCTACACTCGGAATAAAATAAGTACAAAATGTAATATAATTTTTACAACGATAATGTAAAATTGAACATAAGAAAAATGCTTGAAGCAGGAAAGGGCAGCCCAATGCATTAAATATCTTGTATTTATGTAAGGTCCGGAGAAGAGCCGCACCTATGGAATGTGATGTCGACAACCTACCCTAATACAGGCATTAATGGCTACTTCCATAGCTCGAACTCGTAACCCCCTAAAAAACAACTTTATTATTCTCCAAAGCCCCCCTTCAACAATAATGTGAAATGGATCATGAGAAAAAACTCTTGAAGCAGCAGAAGTGAATTTTAATAGCACAGCAAGCATTTCATTAGTTAAACATCAAAATAACATATATCTTCTAATCATCACAATTTCGACGCACCAACAACTAGACAGATTTCGACGCACCAACAACTCACATAGGAAGCAACAATGCAACTCACAAAGGAAACAAAAAGACCCAATATTAGGTTGACGGATTTAGAATTTGGTTCTACTTTAAAGCTTTTTAGTATTAAATTTATTATATCCATAAAATCATAAGTTCAAACTTACTATTTAATACAATTTACATATGTATATTTATGTTTCGCATTAAAAGTATAGATCCGGATAAACTCAATGCCCGAGTGCTCCATTCGCCTCTTGGGTTCTTAATACTATTGTTATATCGTCCAGCTCCAAATGCAAGTTCATTACAATTTTATCAGATGTCTCCGTAGAGACGACTCCAAATGTTCAATGCTAGGTGCGTAATAGAATATATAATTGCTGTTACTCATATGGTTCTAAGCAATCCATACCTCATAAGCTAATTTATAAGATTAAATATGGGGTAAAGTTAAAAAATAACTATAAAAAATATCCTTAAAAGTTGAAATTAATTAGTAACAAGAAAAGAGAACCACACAGACTTCAACTATATGACAATTCGTAACCAAAGTCACAAAACACTTATAAAAAGCCTAAGAAAACGGTCTAAAAGGGAAACACTACAAGAGTAAATTACATTACAACTCTTTTAGCTCATTGTTATCCCTAGATTTTTAGCTATGGAATCCTCAACCAAAAGCCAAATACCAACACAAATAGAAGAAGAGCGTAACTGCACATATGCCATGCAACTATTAACATCTTCAGTCCTCCCCTTTGTATTGCATTCAACAGTTCAATTGGAAGTTTTTGAAATATTAGCCAAAGCTAATGACACTAAACTTTCAGCTTCTCAAATTGTTACTCAAATTCCAAACTGCAAGAATCCTGATGCTGCTACTATGTTAGATAGGATGCTTTTTGCCTTGGCTAGTTACTCATTGTTTACTTGTTCCATTGTTGAGTAAGAAAATGGTGGATCGAAAAGAGTGTATGGTTTGTCACAAGTAGGAAAAGTCTTTGTTAGAGATGAAGATGGTGCATCAATGGGGCCACTTTTGGCTTTGCTTCAAGATAAAGTGTTCATTAACAGCTGGTAAGCTTTTGGCCACTTTTGGCTTTTTTTAGATGAATTAGATTCTTACATTGACCTTAATTTGGTTTAATCATAGTAGAAATGGCGTGGGATAGCCACTTTTTAATGTGGTATTTAGTTTTTATCCGATATTTTTAATGCTGAGCAAAAATAGTCATTACTCTATAAAAATTAATACGAAAAGATGTTTTTATCCTTTCTTCATGAGTGCTGTGTAAATATTAAGAACATAGTGTCCTTAACATTTACACTGCACACATGAAGTTAATGACGCCATATCTTTAACATTTACACTACACATATGAAGTTAAGGACATGATGCCCTAAAGTTTAACAATGGAAGGTGCAAATACAAGACACTTTGTCCTTAATATTTACAAAACATTCATGAAGTTAAGGACATCAGGTCCTTAATATTTACACAGCACTCATAATGTTATGGACACTATGTCTTAACATTTACACTGCACACATGAAGTTAAGGACACCATGTCCTTAACATTTACATTGCACATATGAAGTTAAGGACATGAGGTCCTAAAGTTTAACAATAGAAGGTGCAAATACAAGTTAAGGACATTATGTCCTTAACATTTACACTGCACACATGAAGTTAAGGACACCAGACACTTAGCATTTACACTGCACATATGAAGTTAAGGACAAGATGTCCTAAAGTTTAACAACGGAAGGTGCAGATACATGACACTTTGTCCTTAATATTTATACAGCACCCATGTCTAGTACAGGGGTATTTTCGTTCGGGGAATAAAAATTTATTAAGAACTGGCTAAAAAGTAAATACATTTTAAACACTGGCTAAAGAATAAAGACATCTTTAATTAGTGGCTAACTGTGCACTTCCCCTTAATCATAGGTGGGAGTTGAGGAAATCTATGTTGTACTAAATTCTTCTCGTAGATATTGGTCCTATTGTTTTTATTTATTTCTCTAGTGTAAAAGCTTATATATCATGTGTGGTCTTTGTTACGTGACACAATTTGACCAATTTCTCACCAAATATATGATAGTGAAATAATGTTTGAAGAAATAAAATATAAAATCGAAAACTATATTAAAAATATATTAATCTCTCTTTTTTTTTAAAAAAAAAAGAGGCACCACAAAATTAGATCATATATGACTTTCTTTCTAATTTTAAATTACAGGTTGGAATTAAAAGATGCATTTCTTGAAGGAGGAGTTCTATTTGACAGAGTACATGGTGTATATGCATTTAAATATTCAAAATCGGACCCAAAATTCAATGATGTTTTCAACAAGGCGATGATCAATCACACAACTGTAGTCATGAAAAAAATACTTGAAAATTACAAAGGTTTTGAGAACCTTAAAACTTTGGTTGATGTTGGAGGTGGTCTTGGAATTAACCTCAAGATGATTGCATCTAAATACCCCACAATTAAGGGCACTAATTTTGATTTGCCACATGTTGTTCGACATGCCCCTTCCTATCAAGGTACCTTCTTATTTTTGTTTTATTTTTTACTTTACTTTGACAATCTGGTCCAACAGTTGTTAAATTTACTTAATTCACATCATGAGAGATCGTTAGATATTTACCTTAGCTTATATACACTGAAATGCTAAATAGTACTCCTATTATAGCTTTCAGCTTCATAAAGTAGACATAAAGGAAGTGAGTCACAGTTAGAGGTGTATCTAGGTTAAGGGATATTGGTTCACGTGAACTCATGCTTTACTCTCTAACTATGTATAACAAAGTTATATTTCTTCAAAATTACTTAAATATATGTGCGTACACCCGTGCATAAAGATTTCTATGGTGCAATTATTATTGGGGTGTACCTCTATAAGTAAAATTGGCGGTTTAAATTCCACTTCGAGCGGTCTTGTTTTTGGCACGGAGTATAGATATATATGTGAAAATCATTGAAATTTCAAAAAGAATATAATTTTGAACCTATAATTTCAAAAGTGTAGTGGGTTCATGGTAAGAGACTAAAATTAAACCATCAAATGTAAATTCTAGATCCACCTCTTCATAACAGTACACCCTCCTTTTGAAATCCTGGATCCGCCTCTGATCATAGTATGTCACATTACATGATTATGTAATTACATCAAATTGAATTAAACCTCATCTAAAATGGTATAGCTTTATCGACTAATATAAGATTTTCTTGTACATATACAATCAATTCTTAACTTGAATTAAGTTTGTGATCACAATATCGCAGGGGTGGAACATGTCGGCGGAGATATGTTTGAAAGTGTTCCGGAAGGAGATGCTATTTTTATGAAGGTACGTCCAAATATTTGAGGAGTCGAATAGGCTTAGCAGAAGAAGTAATAAAGGGCTGCTTGTTTTTTTTTTCTTTTGTGAAATATCAAATAATTTTAAATCAAAGTCACTTTACCAAAATGACTAATATTTGGATGTGGAGGAAGTAATCAATAGAAGTTGCATAAGATATTTGTTGGTTTTGGCTGTTATTTTTCTTCCGGAGGTCTAGCTGTTCTGGGAACCCTTCCTAGAAGATGGTCTGGAACTCTAGATGCTCATAGTTTGTAGTAAGTTTTTGTTTGTTATGGTAATATTCACGGTTTATTGCCAAAAATAAACAAGTCTAGGTTTATTAATTTGGATTAGGGGGTGGGGGTTTGGAGAAGGGGAGTAATAACGTGCCAAAACGACTTATATTTTATGAGGATGATGTCTGAGTTAGCTTGCACGCACCTCGGCTAATTCTATTGGGTACCTGCTACCTCACATCAATAGAGATACGATCTAATTCTCCCTACAAAGGCTTAGACATATGAGAAGAAACAAACTAGTATCTTTTTCTCCACTAAAATAACGTGCCACAATGACTAATATTTGTTTGTTTCTTAATGAAGTGGATTCTTCACGACTGGAGTGATAGTCACAACCTCAAGTTGCTAAAGAACTGCTACAAGGCTCTACCAGACAATGGAAAGGTGATTGTTGTCGAGGCCATTCTACCAGTGAAACCTAACACTGACACCGATGTGGTTGGCGTCTTGCAATGTGATTTGATCGTGATGGCTCAATATCATGGAGGCAAAGAGCGATCTGAACAGGATTTTCGAGCCTTGGCTACTGAAACCGGATTCAAAGGCGTTAACTTAATATGTTGTTTTTGTAATTTTTGGGTCATGGAATTCTGCAAGTAGATTTTTACTGTGCGTTGAGTTTCTACTCTGAGTATCCACTTATGGCAGTCTGGGACTAGAATTGCAGCTTAGTCCATATTGAACGTTGATATTCACAATAATATTTCTATTATTTCCCCTGTTTGTTTCTCTTGTATGAAAGGATGTTATTTTGAGTATTGGTAAACATGTTTTTTGGGACGGAAATTGTAACTTTGTCCAATTTTATATTTATATTCTTAGTAAGATTTATATGACATGTGTCTCTGATATAAGAATAATTTCAATATTCGCAGACAGGCACTTGCGAAAGCGTCTGTCTTGGAAGTCAGTTTTCTCGCCATCTTAGTGGGACTGAGACGACTGCGGTTGACAAAGTAAGGGGAGGTGAGTCTTGTCTCTATTCATTCCGTCGTACTCGGAGGAGTGGTGACTCGAGAGTACATACCAGACGAAATGATGGTTGCTCCATACGGGGGATTGTCGGGTTATTATAGGTGCATTAACTAGAAATTGGTGACTAAAATACAACTTAGTCCTGATGGATTATAATAATTTCATGACCCAATTCCATTTTAGGTCGTGATGGCACCCTAGCACCATTGCTAGGCAAGCTAACAGTGAACAATCTAGTGATTTTCCCTTTTAATAAGTTTTTTCAAGTAATTAACGTTCCTTAATTTAATAGATTTAGTAAGAAACAGATTTTAAATTGATAAAACGAAAGCAGCTAAATGTATTTTTGAACATAGGAATAAAACCAAAATCACAAGTCTACTAGTATGTTCCAAAATCTGGTGCCACAAATGTATGGGCTACTAGTGGAATATACAAAAGACTTCTACTCTACTATCTGAAATAGAATAGACAGAAAATAAATCAAAAGAGAGACTCCGGCTGTTGCTGAACGACTCAAAATGACAGCTCACCGTGTAGTCTTGAACCAGAAATCAAGCGTGCACATCAGACTGATAACCAGTTGCACCTACCTCGGATCTTGCACATCAAGTGCAGAAGTGTAGCGTGAGTACATAAACAACATTTACCCAGTAAGTATCTAGTCTAACCTCGAAGAAGTAGTTACGAGGGGTCGACTCCGACACTTACTATGGGCCAATAATATAATTATATGAAGTTCTAATTAAACATGATATATAAAATGATAATAGAACTCAGAGCATGAAAATAAGTAAACAATCCTTTCATTTCAAATAAGAACCAAATCATTTCTCTCATCTAATCCTTTAATCTTTCAAGTCCATGAAACAATATTAAGTATAAAAGGGGTTCCAATTATCTTTACGTGCGAATTATGCCGAGGACGTACGACCCGATCCAAATATACATATAAATATGTTGTGCACTGCCGAGGGTCAAACGGCCCGAACCATAGATACATCAATTAACCTGCCGAGGCGAACGACCCGGTCCCATGAGAGTAGTGGAAATTTACCCCGCTCGCGGAATATACTTGCAAAGCAGTTGGACACTGATTTTCTCAAGTTATCATAATAACTCTCAATTGTTTTTCAAAATACGAAATTCAACTAGGAACCTTTAAAATATGAAAATCCTCAGCCTCCGCTTTAACCCAAACAATTAGTAAGCATAAACAAGCAACGATATCAAAAAAAATATAGTGTAAACCTAAATCTACCCGGACATAAGCACGAATAGTAGCTACGCACGGACTATCGTCACTTCGTGCGTACGTAGCCCCACAAATAGAAGTACATATTGTTTATGTTCACCTATGGGGTTAATTTCCAGCTTACAAGGTTAGAAAAGAGACTTACCTCATCTCATGGCCTACTTTCCGGTCCAAGAATGTGCTCACACCCTCAATTTGGTGCCGAATCACCCAAAACTAGTCAAATAGTATATAAACTAATCAATACATGCTCAAAAGTTCGTATTCCAACTATTAAAGAGGTAACCCAACCCTAAATGTAAGATTCTTAAAATTCACCCTCGGACCGGCGTGCCTAGATTCCGAAAATTTTTGAAGAAATTTGTTACCGATAACCTTATGAACTAAAATATATGATTTTCACTAGATTCTATAAATATTTTCGTGGTAAAATCCCATTTTTATCAAAACCTAGGGTTTTAATGTAGACCCATGATTCCCAAAAATTTTCATGTTAAAATCTACCAACAATCTATGTATTAAACTCACATTAGGTAGAAATTACTTACCTTCAAAAGGTAGGTTTAAATCCCCTTCTTTGAAGCGTTAAAATTGCCCAATAGTGCAATAAATCAACCCTAAAATGGCTTAAGTCCTGATTTTAAAACACACTGCCGAGCTGCCTTCTTCATCGTGAACGCGACAGGGGCCCCGTGAACGCGGAGGCTGGCTTGGCCTACCCTTCGCGAACGCGAGGGCTCCATTGCGTAGACGATGAATAACAGCGGCCCCAAAGTCCAGCCCAGGCTCTTCTATGCGAATGCGAGTCGCCTCACGTGAACGCGAAGGTTACAGTTCCCAGACCTTCACGAAATCGAACTAGCTATCGCGAACGCATAGAACAAACTCCCCCAGCCCCAATTCCTTTATTGCGAACGCGAGAGTCTTTCCGCGTTCGTGAAGAAGGAAACCATAACTAGAATTTCTGGTTTTTCCAACATGGCTCCGAGCTTTCGGAAGCTCACCCAAGCCACTCGGGACCCCGTCCAAATGCACCAACAAGTATGCAAACATGATACGGACCTGCTCGAACTCTCGAAATGCATAAATTCACAACGGAACTAAGAATCGCACCCTAAAACCAAATTGAATCAAAATATGAACTTCAAGTTTCCAAATTGCTTCGAACGCGCGGTATCATACTTGGACTACTCGAAATGACATCAAATTTTATGGGCAAGTCTTAAATGACCATACGGAACTATTCACGGTCTCGTAATTCCATTCGAACCTCGATATCACTAAAATCTTCTCCAAACCAAATTTAATGAACTTACAAAACCTTCAAAGAACCAACTTTTGATATAAGGCGCGAAAACTCCCCCGGGTCATCCAAAACCAGATCCGAGCGTACACCCAAGTCAGAAATCATCATACGACCTATTGGAACATTAAAATCACGATTCCGAGGTCGTTTTCTCAAAATGTTGGCCGAAGTCAAACTGAGACTTTTTAGCCAACCTTAAGGAACTAATTGTTCTGATTTACTTGCGAAGCGGTTGGACATAGATTTTCTCAAGTTATCATAATATATCTCAATTCTTTTACAAAATAATAAATTTAACTAGGAACCTTTACGATGTTGAAATCCTCAACCTCCGCTTTAATCCAAACAATTAGTAAGCATAAACAAGCAACGATATCAACAAAACGTGGTGTAAACCTAAATCTACCAGACATACGCATGAATAGTAGCTACATAGGGACTCTTGTCACTTCGTGCATGCGTAGACCCAACAAATAGAAGTACATATTGATTAAGTTCACCTATGGGGTTAATTTCCCTCTTGCAAGGTTAGAAAAGAGACTTACCTCGTCTCAAGGCATACTTCCCGGTCCAAGAATGTGCTCACACCCTCAATTCGGTGCCGAATCACATAAAGCTAATCAAATAGTATATAATCTAATCAATACATTCTCAAAAGACCGTATTACAACTACTGAAGAGGTTACCCAACCCTAAATGTAATATTCTTAAAATTTATCCCTGGGGCCTACGTGCCCGGATTCCGCAAAATTTTCGTAGAAAGTTGTTACCCATAGCCTCATGAATAAAATATATGATTTTCACTAGATTCCATAACCATTTTCGTAGTAAAATCCCATATTTATCAAAACCTAGGTTTTTCACGTTAAAATCTACCAATAATCTATGTATTAAGCTCGCATTAGGTAGAAATTACTTACTTTCAAAAGCTAGGTTGAAATCCCCTTCTTTACAGGTCTAAAATCACCTAAGAGTGCAATAAATGAACACAAAAATGGCTTAAGTCCCGATTTTAAAACACTCTGCCCAGCTGCCTTCTTCATCGAGAACGAGACAGGGCCCTTGCGAACGTGGAGGCTGGCTTGGCCTACCCTTCGCAAAAGCGAAGAATAACATCGACCCCAAAATCTAGCCCAGGGTCTTCTACGCAAACGTGAGTCGCCTCACGTGAACGCGAAGGTTACAGGTCCCAGACCCTCGCTAAATGCGGACTAGCTATCGCAAACACGTAGCACAAAAATCCCCCAGCCCCAATTCCTTCATCGCGAACGCAAGAGTCTTTCTGCGTTCATGAAGAAGGAAACCAGAACTGGAATTTCTGATTTTTCCAACATGGCTCCGAGCGGTCCAAAGCTCACTCGAGCCACTCGGGACCCCATCCAAATGCAACAAAAAGTTTGCAAACATGATACAGACCTGCTCTAACTCTCGAAACGCATAACTCCACAACAAAACAATGAATCGCACCCTAAAACCAAATTGGCTCAAAATATGAACTTCAAGTTTCCAAATTGCTCCGAACGCGCCGAATCATACTTAGACTACTCGGAATGACACTAAAGTTTGCGGGCAAGTATTAAATAACCATATGGAACTACTCCCGTCTCGGAATTCCATTCGGACCTCGATATCACCAAAACCTACTCCAAACCAAATTTAAAGAACTTCCAAAACCTTCAAAGAACCAACTTTCGATATTAGGCGCCGAAATGCTTCCGAGTCATCCAAAACCCGATCCGAGTGCACACCCAGGTCCGAAATAAGCATACGAACCTATTGGAATCGTCAAATCCCGATTCCGAGGTCGTTTGATCAAAATGTTGACCAAAGTAAAACTTAGACTTTTTAGCTAACCTTAAGGAGCTAATTGTTCCGATTTTAACCCAAACCCTTCCAAATCCCGAACTAACCATCCCCGCAAGTCATAAAATAGTAAAAGCACATACGGGGAGTTTATTAGGGGAACAAGGTTCTAAAAAGAAAAATAACCGGTCGGGTCATTACAATTAAGTAGCGAAAGCAATCCAGTATCAAAATCACATCTAATCTATATAAGTAGTATAAACGGGATTTCACGGGTTACCTCTTGAAGCGTGAACAAAGCTCCTATATCACGTGAGCCTCCAATTACATAGCAACTCAATGAAATCTCCACCACCAGCATGAT